AAAAAAAAAAAAAAAGTCAGAAATAGAGTAGAATTAAACTAGTGTAACATGTTAAATACAGCTGAGACTATCAAGAATATTTGGCTGCTGGTGGCATTCAGAATGACACAGCTCTCAGCTGGGTTGACAGCATCAAGCACAAAAAAGCACATGGTGAGCACAGAAAGTTGGAGAAAGAGAGAAACAACTTGAACTGAACAGTTTTCATGGACTTGAAGAGATCATTTAGGAACATGAAAAAATAGGTAGGGGTCTGGGCTGGATAAGAGAAATAGAGCATGGAATGAAAAGCACACTGCTTGAGATCGCCTGCCCTGCAGATGACCCCACCTTATTTGCTTGCAGTTTCTTCTTGCACATTTTATGATCCAAGCATTTCCTCTTTAATATCGTTGCCTTTGAAGTTCAGCAGACTATATTACTTACTTCCATGAGTTAAAACATCTTCTGCAAGAGAAACCCACAGGTTTGCTAGCATCTCTCTTTTTGTCCGCTTTTCCTCTGTTGTTTGCTGTTTGAAATATTTATTTTCGCTGATGATTAGGAACAAATGAGTTGTTTTGGCAGGTCTCCAGTGCTGTTCCCGTGTCCTAATGGCATGATAGACTTGCAGGACGTTTGCATGTGTTTGCTCATTTTCACATTTACAAACCATGTGGCGGCACGTACTCATAGGTCACGTTGATTAAATATTTGTGAAATGGCCTTCCACCAGCTGCTTGCTAATGTGCCTTGTGTTTGTAGTACAGCAACTCGATTTTCTGCTCACAGCGTGTGAGAACAGTCTGGCCTTTCAGAAACAAAACCTCTCGTTGAGACTATTTCAACATGTCTAAACTCTGCTCGTAAAGTTGGCCGGTTCTTCATTCAGCCCCTCCCTTGATTTCAGCGCTGGCCTCAGTCAGGATTTCAAGTTTTTGTTTCCAAAAGAGCAAACAGAGAAACTTGTACTGCTGCTTTTTTCAGTGGTAAATTATTTCATGACAGAGTTAGGCAAACACAGTATGCAGATGAAACTGAGTCGCTCATGAGTGCTGCGAGTTCATTCCGCGCTCCAGACAGACATGAGTGAATATTTTAACCAGAACACAAAGAAAAGGGAAGAAAAACACTAAATCAAATGTATTTTACTTGTGGCTTAGTTTCAAACACACCCACTCAAGTAGTTCTAAACAATATGACAAAAAAAATAAATCATTTATATCATATGCAGAGAAAAAAATTGTAACTTGAATATGCTCAAGATGCAACTTCTCTCCATTCTGTCCTCCTGCACTTTGAAAATGAATATTTATTTTCAGATATTTGCTCCTAAACCTAATAAACAAACCTACAGGTCTTTAACAGATCAAGATAGTTCACTTGGAGGTTAGCAAAAAGGAGAGGAGGTCATTGTTAGTCTGTGCTGCTGGCAGAGGGAGCGAACAGACAAAGCCCCCTTTATTAATTGTGCATTCACAGGGCAATGTTAAAGTTCCACTGAAAGGAGTCAGAGAGCCACGAGTCAGCTGTTCAACATGTGTAGGTACGCTTACTTACACTGAGAATTTGATGCAAAAAAATAGTGTTTATTCAGCAAATAAGATATTATTTGGGCATTGCTGTGTTTTTTTTTATTCACAAATCACGGGAATAGACAATAGAACTGCAAGGAACCCATTTGTAACATAAATCAAGTGATCAAACGATGTCATGTTGTGTCAGTCGTCACATCCTTTGTGCATTAAGAAACACTCCCTTCAGTAAATTGATATAGGGTTAACATTGCACCAGACGCACCATGACACTTCCCTTTTAATTGCATCCAATCTGATGAGCTCATTTCCTTGCTGATGCTGTTCTCATACGCCAAGCCTGGAAACAAACACACTTCCCAAAAAACACAGCCAGCCACCCTCTCAACCACTGCTCAGGAAGTTGTTTGATTTACCAAATAATCATTTTGCTCTAAAGGGCGATGTTGGAATTGTTTAAATTGCTTTCATTTGGGGATGATTTTTTTTGAGTTGGCAGGGATACAAGCTTTAGCTGTTTTCAGAACAGAGATGTGGTTGTCTGTTGGGATGACTTGATAATTAGCTTTACAAATACAGTTAAATAATACAAACAACTCCAGGGGGATGAATTTGGAAGAATAAAAGAACAATGTGTTGTAATGTTAATGTGCAGCATGACAGGGGGTTAAGCAAGATCAGTAAAGTGCCGTTTCAGCAAGATGATGGGGGCACAGACCTCATCGACACATTGCTTTAGATCACGGAACACAGATTCCCAACTTCAGCACTTTTATGATTGCCTCTACTCATATTCAGATGTATACATGGAGGTGTGCACAACCACAGAATGCACTTACACAGTCATGAACACATCTTTATAAACACACTGACTATAACCATCTATAATCACTTTATCAGCCTTGGACTGCTGCAGGAAGCATCAATTGATTTGTTGTCAGAACATGTATTTCCTATCCAGTGCTTTTATTTACCTCATATATGAATGAAAAGTGGCAATAAACAAGTCCTGAATTAATTTAGACACCTACATGATGTCAATGTCTGAAAGGAGAAATGTGAGGCTCAGTGTGCCACTGCAATGCACTACTGCTGGCTGCAGCTATTAATTCAATTCAGTTCAGTTTATTTATAAAGTGCCAAGTCACAACGGAAGTCATCTCAGGACATTGAACAGAAACATTCAGTCAGGTCATCTGGACTGATATTGTAAAGAAACACGTTCATATACTGAAGATGTGCCAACACCAACTTGACATACTTAGTATTGTTTAGTTGTTATGTTTAAAAATAAACAATATATTTTAAAAGTTCATAACGTGTAAAATTAAACTAACAATAAATCAAAAATAATTAGAAAAATAATTAAAATAAACCCCATTTACAAATATAGTGTGTGCTAAATATAGCAAGTGGTGCATGTCAGAATGTCTACTATATATATATATATATATATATATATATATATATATCAGGCTCCTAATAAATATTGATTATTATTATTTTTTATCTTTCAGATATACAAGCCGAGTTGTAGGATATGGCCTGTCTGCCCAGAAGCAAAACCCAGAGGTCAAAGTTCGCGGCATGGACCCACTAATGGCTGAAGTCAAAGAAAGTTTGGAATGCTTCAACCAGGTAGGACCAATTTTGCAAAAGCACAAGTGCGTGTCTGATCAGAATCAAAATAAGCTTTATTGTCATTTCACAGTTAAGCACAGTGAAGTTACGTTCTGTACAGCTGTCCTAAAGATGGACGGAGATGTACAGAGGCTGCAGCTTCTAAGAAGTGCTGCCCTTATTGCTTAGATAGAAAAATGGAAGACACATAAGGAGAGAGAGAGAGGTATTACAAAAAAAAATCTCTCACACCGTATCCTTAACAGGGCACAGTTTAAGGTATCAAAATAATCTACCACAGCAAGCAACGTGAATAGACACAATACATGCATGGACAACAAGACGGTGAGATTTGTCCATGAACACTTCCATATAGTTTCCATGGTCCTGATAAGGTGTTATACAGTGTCTCTCAGCCGGTACAAGTATCCATGGTCCTGATCAGATGTTACAGTAACTTTCAGCCGGTACAGCTCTGATAAGCATTCACAGAAGTTCTTTTGGTGTGTGTGTGTGTGGGGGGGGGGGGGGGGGGGGGGGGGTGGACAGAGAAGAGCATCTTTATTTACATATCCACCAGGAGCAATTTGAAATAAGTTGAACAATAATAATTAAAAATATGAAATTAAAAACAGAACCTAAACATTGAAAA